GAAAACTTAAGACCAAAAAAAAAAACCCACAATAACGAATAGTAGTAAACTGATTGCAGAAAATGCTATCAATCTCACTGGAGAAAGTCCAATTCCGTTAGTTTTATAATTGCTTGACAATAACACTAGAATCGTAGTAGAATTCGCTTCAAAATAAAAGAAATGCAAAAGTAGAAACAACCTTCTTCAGTAGCCACGGCCGACGATGTGCTGGCAACAGAAGAAGCTGCCGCCCGCCTGCGCATTCGGCGCGTACCAGTTGCCCTAACCACTCTTTCCTCTTGTACAGCCTAATTTATACATCAAAACAAAACGAATCAAAATACAATTTATTTTTCTTATTAACGTATATCACCCCATGATTCTATTGAATCAATTCTAAAGACCTAAAAATCTAAAATAATAATAATAATAATAATAATTGCATATATTGAGAAATATTTAGCTGTGCTTTAATGTAAGGCTGCAAAGAAGAAATTAGACCTGAGTTTCTTCTTGGTGCTGATCGGAAGAGTGAGAATCGACGCGGCGTTTCCATAAATAAAGCGGAATTAAACATAAAAGAAGCATCATCATCAGTAATCCCACGAATATATCCTCCATTTTTCCAGTAAAATTTGATTGCTAAAACACAAGACGATCCTTCCAGTGAAACTAAATCGAATCAGCAACAGTGATAAGGCAAAATTCACTGATTCGTAAAAAACGATCCTCTCAATGTCTAGGATTTTTTTTGCGTTTTTCCCTTTTTTTTTTTCCCGGGTAGCGAGGGTGGGTGTGGTTGGGGGCGTTGCAAAATCTATTCCGTAACGCGTTCATGGTTTGTAAATGGGCCGAGCCGCTCACAACTCGCGGGCTTAACGTATCTCAACTCGGTCATGAATCGTTCTTTTCTATCGAGATGAGTCATCAATCAAGTCGAGGTCAATATTTTTATACGAGTCGAATCAGCTCGGCTCACGAGGTCCACAAGCTGACTCGTCTTGAGCTAATAGACAGAACATTTTTGACTCGTGAATTTTTTTTAAAAAAAGAATGGACTTGTGAACTCATAAATAGACTCGGACTTGTGTCCTAATCGAGCTGAACTCGAGCATCTAAGAGTTGAGTCGATTTCTTTGCAATCCATTATTATCCTCTTGTAATTCAAACATCAAACTTGAATTTAAGTTACACATTTTTTAAGATACACAATTCATATAAATTTATCTACTATTTATTTCCATCACATCATAATTCCAACAGCCTAAATGAAATACGAACAATCATAAATGCAATGAATGGGCTTCATTATGTATAGATTTATGTACATGTAGCACTTCTCTATTTCAATTTATAATGAGAGAAATGTGTGGTAAAAAAAGAATGAATTTTTTTTAGATTTACATGTAATATTATTTTATTGAAATATGTGTGGTTGATAAGAAGAGAGAAAAATGAATTTTAATTTAATGGTGGCCGAGTTAAATATTATATATTTACTATTTTATTTTAATTTTGTTATCTTATGAAGCAGGTAGATAATTTATATACGTATGTAAAGCAAAACGTAGGGATGCACACAAAAAAAATGGAAAAATCGCAAATCAAACCGAACCCGTTGGTTTGAAACTGTTGGTTCGATTCCACGTGGACCCGTGATTTATTTCCTTCAAATCGAATTAAACCGTTTTAAAATGATTTTGTTTAGGTTTCAATTTTCGAAAATCGCACAAAATCGTACCAAATCGGTTTTTTTTATATTTTTAATTAAAAAAATTAATTTTATTAAATTATAAATTTTACAGTTTTCTGGAAAAAAAAACACCAATTTACAGTTGGAAATAAATCTTTATTGTTATTATTGTTGTTGTTATTGTTGTTGTTTTATTTAATTTGACTATGCTATGAGTTAATGAGTGGCTTGCGGTGCTTTTTCAACCCAACTCGAAGGCTCTATCGTCCATTGCACTACCACATAACATATCTATGACAATACACGCATTTTTCTTTATTTGTCCATTCCACTCATATCCCAATTACTCGCTTCTCCTCATATAAAAAACCATCGAGATTTTTCTATAAAATTCTCCCGCTTCCGCTTCTATAAGTATAATGCTAAAAACTCTGGAACTAGTACATTATGGAATCATCTCACACAACTATACAAGAAAAAAAGAATGTTAGCTGTCCCATTTCCTAACCATAGATGTTTGTTGCTTTTGTTGATGAATTGTTCATTCTATTGCTAGTTTTGCTGATGAAGCCTGAAGGGATGCTACTCTTCGATATTGTTGCTTGTAAAAGTTTGAGTGAAAAAGTTATTGACATGTTGCTAAATGCTAATTTGCTACTTTTTTTGTTTGTATTTCGAATTTCAGACAAATATGAATATAATTTAACATTTAACATTATAAGTTCTCATTTAAACTTATATGTTATCTTATATTAAATATATCACTATAATGTCTATAGGTAAACAGCGGATTAAAATCGAACTAAACAGCAAATAATGGTTTGGCTTGAAAAATAAAATTATTTGGTTGGGTTTGCAAAAATTTCTAACTGCGTGAAATGGTTTGAGTTGAAAATATTGCACGGCTCGCCTAAATCGAATCGCGTTCATCCCTAGTAAAACGTGATAAATTATATAGACAAAGTAACAAACTTAGCAAGTAACAAATTTATAGACGTCCTTGTTCCTTCGAGCCATTTTCAGCCTCAAATCCCCAAGTGTCCAGTGAGTGATTCGATGTTGGCAGTTGGGGGTTTTGAGACAATTAGGGAGGTGTTTTTGCCAACTGATCAAGAATTGATATTCTCACTTCAGCCCGTTAATTCCTTCGAGTTTCATTCTTACGAACGTAATCCCCAAATGGGATACTTCTTGTAATGGTTACTGGGAGCCAAGAAGAGATGACAAAACTAATATGACATTACCACCCTCGTGGATTTGTATTAAGTGCTTAGTGGGTATCAAGTCCTTGTGTCACGTATCAATCATACTCTTCTTTCCATATGTTATGACAAGGTAGTCAACAGTTAGACTCTAACGTAGATCTGAATTATCGAAAAGTGCATTAATGATATCATAACACAAGTGTTTTGTAGCATCCTACTCATAAGTATGTGAGTTTGCTGAATGTTTCTGACTTGCTGGCCTGTGCAAGGAGAGATGGCTGTCCTGCTATACAAGACCTAGAGGGCTGCACGGGCAGTCCGTGAAACCTTGTTAGGAAGAGGATTGGAAATGAGGAGTGCAACAGGTCGGCTGAGTCACAATGATGAAAAGAGGTCTGACTTGTGGACGTCCCGCCAAACATAAAGGTGTTCGTTTGGTGAGTGTCTCATGAGGCGGTACCAACGGGGAGTTAACACGGCACGTTGAAAATTAGTGCAAAATAGTCTTGTAGACTGTATGTGGGGTGAAGTCTTGTGCACACGGCCCCAGATGGTAATCATGGTATGGAAGGAGTTTTGCTTCTCCTTTCATCTATTTTCTAAAAGATATATAGCAAGTTAAGTGCACATTGAGCATGAAGACGTTAAGTCAAATGATGCAAAAAAGGCATAAAAGTAGTAATAAATACTGCCAAAGTTCATACCACAGAGAACACTAAAAACACTGAAGCAGTCACTAAAAGCCTCTCTCATCAAGAGATGTACAACAATATTTATTCACATCCCTTCATTTACTACAACTTCATTAGTACCCTTCAAAACTACTCTCTTCAAGCTTCCACAATCTCAGTTCCATCAGCAGCAGCAGCCAAGATCAGCTCAGGTTGGACATTTCCCACAGTCGACCCGTCCAACTCGTTAGGCAGCCCCAAGGATCTTAAAGCAAGGTGAGCCGCCTTCTGACCCGATATCATCATGGCTCCAAAGGTAGGACCCTGCATCATAAAAATCATGGTTATTAGTTTCCATTTTAAAGTTACCGAGAACATTAAAATATGACTTAGGCCTTGCTCATTTGCAGCTTGTTAGGATCTGTGACTTCTAAAAAAGTCAAAAGCTGCTTATGAGACTAAGAAGTTTTTTGAAAATAGTTTTCTGAAAGTCCGACTAGCAGAAGAGTTCCCAATTTCCTCTAAAAGCTTTTCTATAATAAGCAGAAGCAAAAACAGAAGGCCAGAAGCCCTCCAAATGAACCCTTAGCCTCATTAGTCTAGGAATTAGCTTTTGACTCTCCAAAAGCCCCAATGAATGGGCCCTTACCATTCTCGGTGCCCCATCAATCTCTGCAACCTCCATCCCGGTAACTATCATCCCGGGCACGATCTCTCGAGTTAGCCTAACAATTGCATCTTCAGCAGTGTTCATGTCCAATGCCTTCATTCCCGGAACATTGTCTATCATGCCAATGCTCTTGAGCCTCTTAACCCCGGTGGCGCCAAATGGACCATCGTGTCCACACGAGCTCACCACCACTTTAGCCTCCATCACATTCGGGTCCATACACGACTGTGTGTCATGGTTCATGGACACCAAAGCCCAGTTCGTTACAACGCCACTAACACGACCTCCCTTCACAATCAAATCCTCTGCAGCAACAGCATTGAAAAGTTTGACATTTGGCCTAGCCAAGAGCTTGCTCATGATTGTGGAAGTAAAAAGGGCAGCATGCTTGATGACCACGTAGTCGTCTTGTTCATCATACTCAATCTCCAGCTCATCAAGGAAATGATGTGCAGGCTTACGGACCACCATAGCAGAAAAGAGCTGGCCTCCGAGCCACGCGCCGCCACCAGGACTCACAGATTGCTCAATTATAGCCACCTATACATCGAACAGTGAGATATATAAAGAGGGATGCAATTGTAGTTTATACAACACTATTCACAATCAATCTGATTACAATTGGATTTGAGGGCAGGAATTTCAATCTGGGTTTTTGAAATTTAAACAGATTTCCTAAAACAACATCCAATAAGCAAATAAATCCAATTCGCATTTACATATAGATCCAAAGAACAGTATCACAATTATAATAGGAAGTGGGTGAACATACCTGTACGGATGGGTTCTTGCTGAGCTCGTAGGCACATGAGAGTCCAGCAGAGCCAGCTCCAACAATCACGACATCAGTGTCGGCATAGGTGATCATGTCCATCATATACCTGCGAGTCATTTCCCTTGAAACAATCGACTCTTTAATCGGCTGAAATTCAAAGGATTTCAGATCATAAGGCGGCGAGGAGGCCGAAATTGAAAGGTTCTGTGAAGTGGATTTGATGGGTTGCACCCTGATTGGGGAAGAAATTGGTATTCCATTGAAGGAGGATTTGTTGGCATCCAGAAAAGTGGTTTTTGGGGCCAAAGTAGAAGCCATGGTCGCCATTTTTTTTTTCCCGAGAAATACAGAGGATTTTTCTAGATTGATAACTGTGAGTGCGAGAAGATAACGAGGGAGTATGTTTATATGGCAGAAGATAAGAAAAAATCTGGGAGAAAATTGCATTATTGGTCCATCATTTACTGATATAACAGCAAGTTCATCTCCTATTTTTTTACTTTCCTAATTTTTTTTTTAATTTTTTGCAAGGGTCATCCTAACCTTTTAAATATTTCATCATGATTCTTGTTTAACAGAAATCGTCAAAGTTAACCCCAAAAAATAAAATTTAGTTCCTCTTGCTAATCAGACAATTTTCGACATAAAGAAAGGAAAACAAGGAATAAGTGAAGAGAATCCGGATTGTCTCGTCTCTGATGGGAGTAAGATATGTAAACAAGATTGACTTAAATTAAAAAACTAAAAAAAAAATAAGAAAAAAGAGAGAGATCAGATTTGAAGTTTGAAAGATTGGTCGAAGGATACTTGTATTCAACGAAGCAAGAGGGGTCAAACATATTTTGGGATTTGCCACCATCGTGGCAATACGATAAGGTGGGCTGACAGACACTGATGGGATGAATTTCTTCTTTTACTTTTTATCCCTCGAAAATCTCTACCAATTTTGTCATTACATTTTTTTTCGAAGGGGTTGAATTATCTTTTCAAAAAAAAATGTCATTTTTAAAAGAAAATTTTACAAAATCCTCGAACAAGGCCTGACCATGCACTTCTTTTAAAGGTTAGAGACTATTCAAGTAAAAATATATTAGGAACCAATTGACTAGTACATCATTAGATTGGGCACCAACATTACAATTTTCCTAAAATATCTTTTATGGGTTGATGACACGTGGCAAGAGGATAGGAATTGAAGGGTCTAGATTTGATGATGCACCTACATTTTGTCTTCCCATGCATGTTG